CAAACATTTATAAAGAAAATTTTGACGGAAAAAAATGTATAAATGCCAAAAAATGTTAATATATTATAATTAATAAGTTATAAGAAAGTTACACATGGAAACAAAGTTTTGGCTTTTACGGGTAATACAATTAAGAATGCCTTAAGTATTTTCTGAAAAGAAATAAAATATTTGTTTGTATTTATAAAATAAATTGGACTTGAAAAAGTTAAGACACAGTACATAATATTACGGATACTAAATCAAAAAGTTTAATTTAAAATACATTTTAGATTTGAGAAAATCACATATAATCTTAAGTATTGTGACTTTTATCAATTGTTTATAATAAATTGCATTGAATTAAAAATCAAAAATGTAAATAATAGTATTTAAGTAGTAATTAATGGAGAATTATTTCATAGAAATATTTCTACAGGGTTTGCTCTTTTGTTATACCAACCCACAAATTTACTTTTTAATAATAATAATCATTTAAAAGCAATTTATCATTTAATTTTAATTTAATTCAATACTAAATAATGATTAACTAATTCTGTTAACTATAAAGATTATTTTTAAATTTAAATATTTTTTTATTTTCCTTGACAATAGTTTACGAATAGCGACTCATTAAAAATATTCAAGACCAATAGGTTAAGAAACACTGATTTAAAGAACATTTATACAAATATGAAATTTTAAAAAGTATAATATTATATGATATTTAAAGTATACAAATCACTAGATTCCTTTGAAATATCATAGTTAATATTTCAATTATTTTTGTCAATATATGGTCGATTAGCGATAACCACAAAGCAAGATTATAAGTATACACACATTTTTATAAAAACTAATATTGTCAAATCAATGAAATAATGAATAATAATAATGAATCAAGTGACAACTGGGAGACGATTTTATAATGGCACATCGTTATCATATTCTATCGTGGAATATTAAGTACCATATAGTTGGATAATTGAAATATGTTATACAATATTGATGGGTTAAAAACATTAATCATTGAGCTCAATATAGTAATAAAAATGATGAAGAAAACGATAAATAATGATAACTATTTGAAAAACGTGTTTAATAAATAATTTCTAATTTACAAAAATATATTTGAACAGTAAATATGTCTCATATTTTTGGCTACTGTACAAAAAATAATATTCATTTAAAATTAAAACAAACCGCTTTAAATTAGAAACTATGAAATTCTATCACTATTGTTTTAGTATTTGATTTTCTTATTGATTATTCCGACATAAAATTGGGCTTATAGAAATTAAACATTAATAGGTTCATGGAAAATATATCATATTTTAGATTATATACGTAGAATTTAAAAATATTTAAAATATTTTTACAAATAACCCACTAAATGCTATAAGATTTTATTTTAAAATTAGGATATTTTTTTTTTTTTTTTTAATCATACTATTTTCAGCGATTTTACGAATCCTAATCTACATATTTTTGATAAATACATTTCTTAATGAACAAGAAAAATAAAATTAAAAAGTGAATAACCTAAAACAGGACTAACATTGTTAGTTGATTGTTGATTTTTTCGTATAATTCAGAAAATAAAAATTGTAGACATTTGAGGCATTTTATTGATTATTTTTGAAACTAGTTAATGGATATAGGTATGTTAAAATCATTCATTTTACAAATTACGATTGACAATAGCAATATTATAATATTAGTTTTTTTTTTTTTTTTTGTTCAGACTATTCAAATTGAAGAAGATTTTTTTCATAAATATTTTAAATTATATGTATCATCATTAAGTATAATAAAGAATAAAATACACTCATTACTCAAATATAATTCATACCATCGTGCCATATGTATGAAACAACTACGGTTTTAATAGCTCGGACGCTCGATGCAAAATAGTACTTGTTTTAAAAACGCTGTATAATTCACACTGCATTATATTTCAAACTTACAAATTCAAAGACAGTTTATTGGCTACACATGCACATTATCTGTCACTGAACCTAGATAAATTTTAACATTGGATACAAATAAAATTAAATGATTAAATATGTTTAAAAACAGAAAGCGTACAAAACTGTATCTATAATATGATTGAGGGTAAATTGTAACTATTTCTTAACTATAACAAAATGATAATACTATTAGAATTAGCATATGTCACATATGTAATATAAATAGTATAAAATTAAGATATGGATATATTTTAGTATAGAATATTAATAATATTAATATTTTGGTCTAACAAAATAAATAAAAGTAATCGTATGCGGTACAAAATCTAATAAACACGACATTTTTAAATAGAAATATACTTTTTTACGAAAGTATGAAATAATAAATCATATTATGTTCTAAGTATTAGATATTTTGGTATATAGGTATTCGTAAACGGTATATCTAAAAAAAAATTACTATTTTAAAAACCATAAAAATGTAAAGTATTTAACAAAGATTGAGTAGATTTACACAAATAAATTGGTAAAAATATAGATTTCAATTAATAGGAACCTATTTTTATTCATTCACGTTAGCACAATTTCGTTACATGTAAGTACTTATGGATTTGAAAATAATAATAAATAATTTCGATTAAGTACTATATGATTTCGCATTGGTATTCTTTTAACTATAACAATGCTGTTTTTAAACTTGATGCGCTCATCATGTAATGCAAAACTTGACTATAGATTTTTTTTAATGATCAGTATTTAAAATGAATAAAAATAATATTAATAAACATTAAATAAAAACGTTTTTCTTCATTCTAAAATATAATGTGAAAAAGTAAATATAAATAATTTTTAAAACTGAATGATTTTAAGATAATAATTTGAATAAAGTTTAATCAAACATGTATACTAATAAATAATGAACTATATATTATTTTAATAATTTTAACATAAAATTTATTATTTTTTTTTCAATTTTTATTTTTATTACCTAATACACGTCTATTAAACATTAAATAAAATATTAAGACAATATTTAACGACCACTCCATTTAATATACTGTTTAGTGTAGTACGTATAATTCTAATAGAACATATTTGTAACTTGCTCACAAATCACTACTTTGTAAAATATTTTCAAAAATAATTGTATCTAAATCTTACGTACATAATATTATACAAAATCAAATTTTATTATCTATAAAACACTATTTTCAACTACAACAGACTTGACAATCATTTTAAAACCATGAATTAAAAGCGACGGAAAATAGAATGGTGCTGTTTTACCTAAGAGTATTGTAATTGAGTAGTTAAAAAATTAAAACCATAAAAAATAACTTAACATGAATAAACAAAATTGTTTGTATATAACCATATATAGTCTGTCACAAATTATAATCCAACAATCTATAGCCGTATGAAAGTAAAATAAAAACACTTTGTATTGAAAACGTTTTGAGTTTATGCTATCAAACCAACTGATAAAAAATAATAATAAATACTTTTTAAAACGTGTTTATCTTTTGCTTTCGGAGCTGATATGGATATCATATTATATTATTACAGTAATTAAACATTGATCATGCTGTACATAATAAAATACAAAATAAATTGTATGAATTTGCAAGTTATCTTTTAAGGAATCTATAAAAGGTGTCTTTTATAATTTGATATGATACTTCCTAATATGTAGGTACTTGCTAAGAAAAAAAACGAATCTAAAAAACAAGAAGCGTCTACGCACCTAAAAAAAATGTTCGTGATTATTACTACTCAACTACAAAAATGTATACAAATCTTCAGTATTTAGTTCAAAGTGAATTTAATAACTAGACACATAAGTCAACTACTATAATTTACTTGTGTATATCATAAAGCAAAACAATATCTGTCGGAGTATCATGGTCTTTAAAAAGGTATATTTAATTTAAATTTTGTATACAATAAGTTTTATATTTAAACTAATAATGAACATTATATTACATACACAAAATTAAACAGTTGACACTTAACATACAAAATCTAATTTTTATAGACTGAATTCACGAATTTAATTTTTCTAAGTTTTTGATAATTAAAATTCTACTTATGTTTTTAATTATTTTCTTTTTATAATTCAGTAAAACAAAAACATTCAATTATTTTTAAAGTAGAACTTTTTTTTTTTTTAACTAAAAAAGAAATCAAAAATTATATTAAGAATCTAAAACGTGAAGCTCATAATTTTTCGGTTTCTTTTTTTCTTTATAAACTTAACTATTCATTTCAATATCATAATTATTAAAAACAACAGACTATTCTATAAAAATAATTATGCATCAATATTTTGATAAGAAAAATATAACTGTATTTTAATTTAAATTAAAAATAAATAATATTTTCAAAATGGGATTAGTTAAATTTTTATTTTATAATAATCAACTATGTATTCATAAAAATCATCATTAAAAATTAATTGACAAGTTTCATTAAATATCTTTTAAAATAATAAATCTAGTTTTTGTTATTAATCAATCAATTAAATTCATTTATTTATTTTAAGTTTAACCGGACACAAAAATAAATCATACAATGTAAATTGGTTTTTTTTTTTTTAAATTGGTATTTAGCTTCGAAGACAGGGACCATAAGCTTTAAACATTATATTCTAATTATTTATGTAAACAGTTTAATTACAATAATATAGGAGAGACTCATAATTATTTGTATGTGTTTTTCATAAATATTTTTCTCTATTTCCACACTTCTGAGGAATAACAATTACTTTTTTTATTAAATACAACTGACAATTTCTATACAATAGTACGCATATTATATATATGCACTTTGAAATTTAAAATATTTTTTAAGTCGGGTTTACAAATGTAATTCTCAAATCTATAATGGAATCAATGAAGTGAATATTGAAAATACTAAAACTTGAAACGGAACTGGGGAAAAATTCAAAAAATGGAAAAATACACGGTGGTTCATGGGCGTTGAACTTTCAACGGCGGTCGCCTACAACGAAGGACGTTTAAGCTTCAGTTTCAGTAGCATTCTGTCATTTGTGCCGAGAGTACCGACTCAGTTTAACATATACAAAAACCTCATATTATAATTTTTTTTTTAATCTTTAAATTAGTAATTATATAAATGTGATTATTTATACAGTGATACGTTTATGTAAAGTCAAAAAATTTGATTATTAGAAAAGTTAAATATTTTCAAAATAAACTGATTTTTAATTTTAATAATATGCCAATTAAAAAAAGAATATGTGTGTTCATACGTGGATAAAGGTAATGTTATTTATTTTTTATTTTTTAATTAAGAAATCACAATATCATAAAATTATAAAAAATTAACTTATTTTAAATTTTAATCTCGTATTTTTTAGTATTTATACTAAATCTATTGTTAATCAATTAATTAATTAATTGAATAAACACAAAAATAGTACAAATAATTTTTTTACCATTATAAATATAATGTTAGATAATGCAATACTTAAATAATATTTCAAAATTTAAATCTATAATATATATATATAAGTTTTTTTATTATTATAACATAAGACGACAAATGTATAATACACTAAAAGTTAATAAAAAATATTATAAAATTTTGTAACATACTAAACACTAATAAGCTATGTAATAGAAATAAATACAAAAAAATCTATCATAATAGTTTTGAAATTTTATGAAATCTTATTATATCATCACATTTGTAAAGTTTATAAAACTGCATTTAATGATTCAAAATAATTTCTTTTATGAAAAACTAATCAGTAATAGGTTATTTTGAATTTAAAAGCAATGATAAATTATTGTATTCAGAAAAGAATTTCAAACAAGTTATATAGTTTTTATTATGTTGTTATTCAAACGATAGGTATTATAATACACATACCTTCTTCAATAAAGTAAAATAGAATGAAGTAAAATTTGAATCTGTAAAATAGATTGACTTTAATTTTATAGACAAATTAAAAAATAAAAAGATTAAAATAACTGTTGAACTAAATTTCAAAAATTTTCTAAAATTCTAAAACAATATAAAAAGATACGACTTATATAACTTAGTTTAGATTACTAATTTATTTGATTTATAAAAAGGAACAATCTTGGTTCTCAATTAATGTGTCGACAATACTATGACGTGTGTCATTATACATGATAGTTAATTAGACTTTAAAACTCCAATATGTTTAAATATAAAAATATTTTTCAAGAGTTTAAGTATAGGCTAAAGAAAGTATCAAGTGTGAAGTTATAAGATATTTTAAGAGTAACATTTTATCAAGTTCAAGTTTTAAAATCTCAAATTTCCAACTCTAAGAAAGAATAATAAATTGCATAAATGGTCAAAATTATTTATTATCTAATTTTATTAAAATAAGCATAAAATTAAAATTTTAAGTTTTTAATTTCAATTATTTTACATTCTGCATAAATAATAAAAAATAATCATAATATTATTTGAAAATGCTTAAAAAAATATTCACTACATTTTGGAAGTATGTACCTATTAAAAAAAAAAAAAAATGAAAATTATTGAAAATACATACTTTGAAAAAATGCCAATCATAATCTATTTCAAAACTAACGAAAAAGCTTCTTATTTAACTTTCTGAGCACGTTTACTATTCAAAAAAATGTATTCTAAAAACAAACGTCATCATAAAACCAATAGCTTTCTCGAGGCTGCGCTGAATCTAAATTATAACTTTATAAATTAAATAATAGGTAAAAAATAAACATAATAATAATTAATTGTGAAATTTCTAGATTAAATGAACCAAAAGAAAATACATATTATGTATACTAACTGTTTAAAAAGAAAAAATCAATATTAAATAATGAAAGAAGTCATATTAAATACATTAAAGAATATGTATAGTTTATAAATAATGAATTTAATAACTAATGCCTATTAATTTTTACAGAGAAAAAAATTAATAAAACTAGGTAGAAACACTAATTATATGATTAAATTTTTAGCACGTATTATTGCCAGTCTTAAGTTGATAATAACTATTAAAAAAAAAAAAAAAACATTAAAAATTACAATAATGCGTGCTCTGTAAGTTGCAACAATATAATATAATCTGTAAATTATGACATTGATTGAATATTTGTTTGGAAAAAATAGAAATTAAACATTTTAAAACTGCATACAAAATAAGTATTTATCAAACATAAAATAAATCATAATTTAAAATAATTTTAGTAGACTTGATTCTATTTTTTCTAAAACCCATTTAATTAAAAGTAATTTGATATGGAGATTTTTCTTCAGAATTAAAACTAAATTCAGTTTTTATCATTCAAGTTAAAAAATATTCAACTTATTCTGATGTTTAAGAATCATTTAAAATTATTCCAAAAGTTAAAACTATATTATACATTATAATTTTAAAGGCATGATAATGATATCATTCATCTCTGTCATACACACATGTAGAATATAGTAATAAAAAGCTCGAAATATTTCATACATGGTTAATAATGGTAACTATTATAAAAAATAATGTGAAAAATATAATCTATTTTACCTGAAGCTTTTTTCGATAACTTCACTTTTAAAAGGACGTCACACACTTACTTTTTAAAGAGTATTTGATAAAAGCAATTTAAATGAAATATAACTATAAAGTTTTAAATATATTTGAATTTTTATTCATAACAATCAGTTATAGTAATATAGTTTGCCTATATACTAACATACATGATATAATAATACTAACCATTGTTGATTGTTGCTTAATTTGAGATTAAGTTGGAAAATAAAAAAAAAAAACCCCGTTTCCAGCGAAAAATAATCACTTTATAGCTACAATCATAATGGAGAAACTAAATATAAACGATAAACAATATAATATTTACTGTATTGTAGAATTTTTATTTTTTTTTAAACTATTTATAAAAAATAAATATTATTATTGTTTAAAGTTCTATTATTTTTATGTTCTAAAAACTTGTTAAGGCTCCGAACGGAGCGCTGCATTGATGTTACAATGATATTTTTTTGTCACTTATATCATGTTTACTTAAATCGATTATTTGTTTATTTAAAAGCCTGGAATATATATATATACATTTCCTAGGGCTTATTTAATTATACAAACACATCAATACAAATTATTTATAAGTACCTACTTTTCATATTATAAAGCAGTAAAATTTTTATCATTTTATTAGTTTCTTACAATTTTAAAGCATATTTTAAAATTAATTTGAAAATTATATTTTATAACTGAGCAGAGCAATTAATGTATTGGTTTTGAAATTATGCACGTTTGTGTGATTTTAATATATATTTATTTTTATCGTATCTGTTATTCACCTTTATAAAAGCAGTTAAAATTTTTTAATCTTAAACTTTGAAGATACTGTCTAATAACAAATTTTATTTAGTTGATACATGGAGTCAAAAGTAAACGATTTCTAGATTTATAATAAAAAATTATAAATAAAAAAAAAAATAAAATAAAATATAATAAAGAAAAATGAGAATATTTATACTTTGTTAATTATAATTTTAAGATATTCAAATGTTCATATCATGCAGATTTTATATTAAATGGTTTTATTTATTTTGTTTCAACTCCATTAATATTAACCGTAAAATAATTCTAAAATTACTTAAATTATTATTTTCCATACATGATGAATTTTTAAAATTATTCTGACTTCCTAATCAAGGTCACTAAAGGATGACTTCTTAATCAAATAATGCATGTATAAATTTTCTTCTATCGTCATAAACGTATACTTATTGTACTTCAAAATATTGGTCGTGTATAACTAAATGTAAAATTAAAAAATAAAATTATTTAGATTACCTAATTTAAAGTTAATATTAGACATATGAGTTTTATTTTTGTACAAAATTTGGAAAATGCTATACTAGATTCTTCATAAATTCTTACAGTGATTACAAAATATCGAAAATATTTAAAATCTTAACTATAACAAATTTGTAGAAATTAAAATTGTTTACCATAACATTTAAAATTATTTTCTATATACAAAGAAATCATGAAAATAAATAAACAAATTTTAAGCTAGTTTTGCAATTATTATACTTTTCACACTGTCAAAAGTCATATGTCGGTATTTAATTGCAAAAATTATATTTTTTTTATAAAAACGAATAATTGAAATTTTAAAAATTCAAAAACAACAATTAATATTTATGATATAATTAAAATAACAGAAATGACAATAATGGATAAGAACCCTATGGCGAATAGATTTGACAGAACTGCAGTAGGTCCTAAAACCAAACAATAATAAATGGCAGAATATTATAATAACTATTATACAAAATATGTGATGCATTTGATAGCAATAAGTTCAACATACCGTATTAATAATAGAAAAATAAATTACAAGAGGTAATATAAATAAATTATCAAACACCCTTAGAAATAGAGTCTGGTGTTGACATACCACTCAGAATCGTTTTTCGTACAATTTATTACTGGATTCAAATTCACTATGTCTAATACACGATTAGAAACCTATACTTTTAGTAGAGTGACATATTTTATAAATAAAAAACAAAAACAATACAATACAAAATATTGCTTTTTGTATCTTGTGACTATACCTAAATTTGGTTCTCAATTATGGATAATTATTACTTATTATAGTCTAAATAGTTATTTTTTTTTTTCAAGTGAAACAGTTTTTAAAATCAATTTATGTATATGTTACGTCATCTTAAGAAGGTTTTATTAATATAAAATGGATACTGTTAAAAAAAAAAAAAATAATAATACATTTTCTATGAAAATACAGTAATAATTATTATTCACGATATATTTTATTATTTATCGTGATAAATTAATATCAACCATGATATATAAAAGATATTTAACTTTTATAATTAATATAAAAGTTTAACAATACATGTGTGTAAAACAAAGTTGGCTGTTTTGACTATTGTGCCTTCATAACCTACTGGCTAGAGTCCAAAATTTTAACTTCACGAAAGAAAACATAATATAAGAATATACTTTCATTCGAAAAAAATCAGTTCTTATCATTGCCAAATATGAACATTAGCAATACCATGATAAAATACACATATATCAGTTACTGATTGGTGGTACTTTTAATTTTACATATGCAATAATATGTATATATAAATGTGTGTGTGTGTGTATGTGTGGTTTTTTTTTTTTTGTTAACAGTCCAGGGGCTGGTTAGAAGCATTCCTCCAATCTTCACGTTTCTCTGCTTTCTTCTTTAATTCATAGTATGTTTCACACCCTAGATCATTGACTAAT